GGGTGCGTGTGTATGGGTTGCAGTGTGTGTGTGTGTGTGTGTGTGTGTGTGTGTGTGTGTGTGTGTTGCCAAAACACAGTGTGGCTGATGTGTGCGTTTGTGCCTTCAGTAGTGGCTGTAAATGCCCGACAGCAGCTAGATGCCCAGACGGCTGCACACGCTGCATCTCGCCTTGTGGCTGACCCAGGCGACACGCGGGGCGCAAGCAGCCGGCACGTCGCCCCCCAGACCCCCACGAATTGCGCGACGCACGCGGCCCTTGCCCCGTCCGCACTGCGCCCCGCCCTGCGGCAGCCCGAATTGCATGGTACCGCACGGCACTGCACCCACGTCGAGCTGCAGCACGCGCTTGCCCCTCAGGAACTCTGGCAGGGGGGAGCCGTCCAGTGACATGCGGTGCACGATGGCGTAGGCCAGGCCCTCCGCGATGGCGGTCTTGCCCACGCCTGGCGCGGGCCGGGGGAGGGGCGAGGAGCAAGGGTCAACAGTCAGAAGGTAAAGGGGTGGCGTTCGAGGGATGAAGGGGACGGGTGGAAAGGCAGGGGCGGGGCAGGGCGCGGCAGGGGAGGCCAAGTAGGGGCAGGGGAGGGCAGGGCAGGGGAGCAAAGCGGCGAATAGCCGGGGCAGCGGCCGGGCGGCTGCTCAGGGGCGTATTTTCAGAGACGGCGGGGCCCTGCGGGCGGCACTGAGGTAGGGCCTACACGGCAGGCACCGGGGAAATGGGTCGTGCAGCGGGCAAGCACGAGGACGAGGGGGAGGGGGGGTGGGAGTGTTGTGTGTGCGCACCCGGCTCCCCCAGCAGGATGGGGTTGTTCTTGCTGCGCCGCGCCAGGATCTGCATCACGCGCGCCACCTCGTGCTCGCGCCCGATGACCTGGACGGCGGGCATTTTTGAGGGGGAAAGGGGGCGGAGTTGCGGCGCGGGCGCACGCGAGGTGGGCAGGGGCGTGCCCGCCCCGCCGTTTCATCGTCCTCTAGCCCCTTCATCACCACAACGATTTGGAGGGATGACGGTTCGCGGGCGAGCCAGTGTGCTGTGATGCTGGGTTGCGGGAGCCTCGCGCCAACCAGCAGCCCTCTCAGAAAGCCGCGGCTCGCCGCCCGCCCGCCCGCCGCGCCCATCGCCCCTGATCGAGCGGCCGTCCCCACGCCTGCCCCCGCCGCGCCGCGCGGCTGGCTGCCCCGCAGCTGCAAGGCCGCGCCCTCCCCGTCCTGGCGGCACAAGCACAGGCCTCTCACCGGGTCCACCTTGCCGGCCCTGACCTCCGCGCAGAGGTCCTTGCAAAATTCCTCCAGAGCCTTGGGACCCTGCTTCTCCTGAGAAAATCGAAATCAACATTCAGAAGCGACAGCAAGGCTCAGGGCAGGGCCGGGCCTGGCCGGTGAAAGCTCAGAAATCTGAGCCGGCCCGCGGGAGGGCCGCGCCGGGGCGTCCGCGCGGGGCGCGCCGCCGGCGTGCGGCGCTCGGGCGCGGGCAGGCCACGTGCGGACGGGAAGGGCGGGGCGGGGCTCACCGACTTCTTCTTCTTGGGGGCCTCTGGCTCCTGGCCGCCCTTGACGCGCTTGGCGCCCTCAGCCTTTAGCACGTCGCAGTCCACGCCGATGCTGCAGGGTGCGTGCGTGTGCGTGTGCGTATGTGTGTGGGCGTACATGTGTGAGTGTGTGCATGAGCGTGTGCGTAGATAACTTTGTGTGTGTGTGTGTGCGTATATACGTGTGTGTGTGTGTGTGTGCGTCTATACGTGTGCGTGTGTGTGTGTGTGTGAGAGAGAGACAGGGAGAGAGAGAGAGAGAAAGAGAGTGTGTGTGTGTGTGTGTGTGGAAGGGGGCCGAGGAAGGGGACATAGGGGTACGAGGTTCCCTATCGAAGCCAAGGGACCGAAACGCCCGTGCCCCGCCGCACCTCGTAAGCAGGATGCGCGCGCGGCACTCCGTCTGGCTGAGCATGGCCAGCAGTATGTGCTCGGGGCTGATGTAGGTCACCGCGGACCGCTTGCACTCCTGGTTTTTTGGGCGGGGGAGGGGGTGGGGACAAGCGGCGGCCCCGGGCGCGTGGCGTCATCAGACATCACCGCGACCGGGGCGCCCGGCGGCATGCACCCGCGAGACCAAGCGCCCCTCCCCAACCGCCCCGTGCCGCCGCAGCCGCTTGCGGCGCCGGCGGGCGGCGGCCACACCTCCTGCTCTCCGCCCCTGCGCCCCGGCCCTCCGCGCTCACGTTGGTGGCGGCCTCGAAGGTCTTCCGGACCTCCCTGCTGAAAGGGATGTTGTCTGCGCCGGTGATGGCCTTGCGGCGGCCGCCGAGCGCCTCCACCGCGGCACGCGCTTTCTGTTGTTGAATGCCCGGGGGCGGGGGGGGGGGACGGACAAAGCAGGAGAAGACGTGAGGCCTGGCTGGGCTGCGCTGGGGACGAGGGCCCGTTCGTGCCTTGCACGCCGAGGGCGACGACCCTTGGAGCTACAGGGAGCGCGCCAGGTGCATTTCAGGCGGCAGCGGACGCCGCGGATGCGCACGCGCCCGCCACGGGGCGCTGCCCCCCTGCTCCGCCACCAGATCACCAGATCACCAGATCACGGGGGCGGGCGCCCGAGGTTACGCAGGCTTACCTCATGCGTGAGGCCGCTGTTGAGGTATCCGCTCTTCGATGTGGTGTCCTCTTGGATGAGCCCCAGCAGGACGTGCTCAGTCGTGACCTGGCGCCGGGCCGACGTACGCGGGTGGAAGGGTGAAGCGAAGAGCGGCGGCGGCCCGGGGCTGCGGCGCCCGCGGCCGCGGGCCGCCCGCTGCCCTGGCAGCAGGAGCCCCCCACGTGAAGGGGCAGGAGGGAGCAGCGCCGTCTCGGGCGCGGCGCGCCTGCGTCGGTGGGGGCGTGAGGCGAGCGGGCGCCGCCGCGCCGCGCCGCGCCGCGCACCTCGGAGGCGCCGAGCTCCTTGGCTTGCTGCTGCGCGATCATGACGCTCTTGATGGAGCGCTCGGAAAACCTGGCCAGGGTGGGTTTTGAGGGGGGGGCGCTTTGGCAGCGGCGGGAGTGGCGGCTTTCGGGACCGAGCGGTTGCAGCAGCGGGCGGCGAGGGGCGGTGCCAGGGGCCCGACGTCCGGCCGGGGTGGGAAAATCATGCGGGCGGGCTGCAAGCTGTGCACTTGTCGGTTGTCAAAAGTTTGGTGTGGTTGAGCGGCGCTGACGATCCGCGGGCGCGGGCTGCATGCATGCAGTCTTGTCTGAATCACCTTACGTAGAGGCGTTTCTTCCATCAACCTGCTCACCTTTCAAACACAGCGCGAACCACGACGGCGCGACCCCGACGCCGCTCATGCCGGGAACCGCCCGGGACAGCGCTTGGCCCGGGACCGCCAAGGGCCGCTGAAAAGTTCCCGCAAGCTTGTGGGTTGCATGCGTGATTCCCGCGGCTGTCGGCGACAGCTCCTCGGGACGCGTGCTGACCCCTATTGCTGGCGAAGCGGACAACAGCCCTGCCTGCGAGGAGCCTGCAGCCCCGTGCAGGCTGAAAAGTACTATGGCGTAGCATACTTTTTGTTGTTACACCACAGATTTACCGCGCTGCCAGATCAGACTGGTGTTGTTTGCCGCGTCACAGCGCTTGACCTGGGGCCCGCGGGCTTCAAGCCGTGTTGCAAAACACTCCCGAGCGTAAACCACTAAAACAAGATTGTCCAGCCGCTGCAGCGGCATGATGACAGGGTTCGAACTCCGTTGAGATAGTAAACAGCGCGTAGCACTGCACGGGACGGTCGACTCAACAGGGGCCACACCGGTAGTCATCGGACAGGATGGAAATGATCATGCCACTTCTCCAGCGCAGCTTCGCCGCACAGCGATCGCCACCAGACCGCCCCCGCCCTGTGGGCTGATGTCACACTCTCACTGAGCACGTGGGCAGGTCCAGCCCACAAACAGCTGCCTATTAGTGGTCTAATGTGTGGCATAGTGGATCTTGGCCCCACGTCTCTTTGAAGCGATCGCACCTCTGGCCATTATCGGGTTGCATGCGCCAGCTCACGCGTCACAACAAGCAGCGAGTCCAGTTGCCGCACGTCCGGCGTGCCGCTGATGAGCTTAGCACAGCGCACCAGGTCACATATGTCCCAGAAGTGCTACATTCGGATTCTGTCTATGCCCTGCCGCAGCCAGACGGCCACTTCTCAGGGCGTACGAATTGGGAATGGCAAGTGTGTGCATGCATGGCCCCTGCTGCAGCAGCACATGCTTCTCAGCCTGTTGCATGCTCGTCTGTATATGTGCAATAGAGCGCGTCGCGTCCCTGCTGACAGCTGCTCGTTTCCTAGACGACGCTTGCTGCCCGCTGCAGTGCAGACGACCATGGTTTGCGCCCGCAGCACCCAATCACTGATACATGTGTGCTTGTGTGGCTGCGACTGCCTCAGCCGTATGGCGCTTGCCTCACGAGGTTTCCCTCCCCTGCCGTTTTCAAACCTGAAAGGTGGATGGAGCTGCACCACACCAGCACAGCCAGCGCTCGGGGCAGCGGGACCAAGCTTATTGGGTGTCCCTGGCCTGGTGCCCTGCGGGCAGTATCAGGCAATGCATGCATGTTGAAATGCGCTACTACCCTTGGTTCTTGTTTTTCGGCCTTGGCCAGTGAGGTGATGTCAGTGGTGCGAACTGTAGCATGTGACTTTCATCACCCTTTCAAGGTTCAAGGACAGGGTGATCGCGACCGTGTGCAGCCACGCATTACAGGCTTGCTTGCGATTGCTGATCACTCGTGTCACTGGCTCCCCAGAGCACGCACGGTCCAGCTGGTTAGGAGACGGTTGCTGTGCAGGGGTCCGTCAAGGGTGTGTATGCAGCGCAACAGCGGAGGTTTTGCAGTGCACACCGCACAACGGCGCCACCGCAAATGGCTCACGTGGCGGCTGCAAGGCCTTCCACCTCGGCACTTCCCCATCGCCGTACACCAGCACACAGGTCACATGCCGCTGTACAAAAGTTTGACCTTGCTGCAGGTGTTGATCTGAGCACCATATCATATCTTGACCACGGCCATGCAGCAGTCAGGGTGTGAACGTGCGAGACCCAGGCGCGTTTCACTCAGTTCATGAATTGTACGTTTTTATTATGCCTGAGTGAAAAGCAGCCCGCAGCCGTGGCCAGCATTGCTTCCTGGAAGCTCGGGGACGCCATGGTTGCCATGCCACACGCAGGGGGCTGACTGACGCCGCGTGCTCTGCTTTCGGACGGCGGGG